ATGATGAGGCGGTAAGGAGGACGGGAGGTAAGGATGAGGTAGTAGAAAATGGATCCGAGGTGGTACAGGCGGGAGGTGAGAAGGAGGTAGTAGAAAAAAATGGATCGGGGGATGATGTAAAAGAAGAAGAAGAAGAAGCAACGCAGACAACAGGCTGTGGTGGAGGAGCAGGGTGGGTCATTACCATCAAAGACGTACCATCGGATAGAGAGTTGCCGCGACCCCTACGACCCGAAGTGGCGGAGGTTTATTGACCAGCGGTATGGAGAGTTCCCTGATCGCAGTGGGGCACGCCACCGTGATTTCGAGGTTTATCCGCCTTATTCGGCTGAAAAGAGATGGATAGCGGATTGCGAGCAGGAGGACAACAGTGCCAAGGGGCCAGGGCCGGGGCTTGAAGCATCAAGGTAGATAATGGCTTATACGACTAGTCCTACAGCTCACATCCAATTCACTTTTTTCCCACCAATTTCCATTCTCAGTAACGATGTATCACAGACTGCACACGCCGTTCTTGCAGAGAATCAAGCTGAAGCCACAGTCTGCATCCGTCGTGCAACTCACACCTGTTTTTTTTTGTTTTTTCTGTCAGCTTCCTTCCCACGAACTCCGTGAAAGAGGATAAGAACGTACCAATACATGCAATAGCGTTGATGCCACAGCTGGGGCTTCCACCGGTCGGCTGCGTTGGAGGGGTGACGACGGTTGATGGCTGTGCGTCTGTGTCTGTGGACGTGGGCGTGGGAGTAGTTGAGGTTGGTCTGCGAGTGCTAGTAGCCCCCCCCGCTCCCCCAGATGCGGCGGCGGCACAAACGCCGGAGACACAAATCATCTGACCGTCGCAGTCGTCATACGTCTCGCATTCGTCGCCTGCACAGTGACCTGGCCATCCACAAGCTGTCGGTCTGGGGGTAGGAACGACGGTTGTCCGAGTGGGCCGGGATGCGCCGGTGCTAGCACATGCGCCGTTGCGGCAGATCAGCTGGCCGTCGCAGTCGTTGTTGGTGTCGCAGTCGTCTCCTACACGAAAGTCGTTGTGAGCTGAGAGCGTGAGGGAAAGGGGGGGATGGTGAGACGTACCTAGACAGTGACCTGACCAACCGCACTGTTGTCTAGCGACTACCTCGAGCGTGGTGGGGAGCTGCGTGGCGAGGACCTGGGTGCCCATAGCAAGGGCCGAGAGGATATATAGAGACTTCATTTTGTCGTGACTCAAACTGTCTACGAACTCCAGTGATAGAGAGGAAGTCTGGGGTTTACAAGCAGTTTGTACTCCCTCCCCTTCCCATCCTCGGAAGCTGGGTCTCTCATATTATTTATGTGTGTATCATCGTGGAACTCACCATGTGGCTTATTTCCTCTTTGCTATTGGAAAATGCCGGTTGTGCGCACCGTATATATAAGGCCAATTTAAGATGACTGTAGCTTCCGGGACAAAACTGGATTTGTGGGACCGTAGAAACCCATAGCAACGTATCCTTCGCGATAATCAATTTCCTGATTCTGCTGCCTGAGTAAAAATCCCTTTTCAGTGGATGAAGTTTACGGATGGGTCTCCTATATACAGGGCTACTTCCTTTGTCACATCGCTAATCAGCCGGTTGGCCTCTCACTCACCTTCGGCAAATGAACGATGGGCCGGGATATCCCGCCATTGGTGTGCCGCTTCCCATACGATCGAACCAACGTCATCTTCAATCACTTGGTTCCCCCGCTGGCTAAACCGAGATAAACGAGAAAACACGGCTGAGCCGGCGATTCGCGGCGGCTTGGTGTCAATCAAAACCGCGCAACTAAAAAGTCTGGGGTGCATTTGATGCCAAGCAATCTAGAACACTTTATATTGTCGTCCTGGATATCACCGCAAGACGCGAGGGTTGTAATTATGGCCTACGCGTAAGGTAGCAATTATATATGCAAGGCACCTCCTCGCCTACCCGCAGTTAACCAAGAGAAAACCCCCTCATTTTAATTATTTTATGTCAGTTAATCCATTTACTCGTTGATCTTGGTATCACAACCCCATGTTTACCTGTTCATTCGGCCAATATGCTGAAGGTACGTCTAGTGCCTGTTTAGTAAGAGTTTATATGCGAATGGGGAAGTGAGATAAACCCGGGTTCCCTAAGGAAAAGAGAAAGAAAGGAAGGAAGAATACCTTAAAATAAAGAAACGGAAAAGAAAAAATTCAGAGATCTCGAAAAGAAAAGAAAAAGTCGGGGGGTAGCGCCGTGGGTTACATTCGATCCGGCGGCCTGGCTCTGCAAGACCATGGAGAACTCCCACACTTGTCGAGCAACCACTGCACCACGTCATCCCTGAAATGGCTGCGTTGGAACTAATATACATAGCAGAATAGGTGGTGGACACTAGCTCGTGCTCGGACTATTGCTAACACATGGGATGAAGCAAATGGTTGTGATAAGCAGGGTGGCGGTTATCGCTCCTGGAACATAAACACTCCAATTGACTTCACGTCACAACAACGGAGTAGTGGGATGCGTTAGTGTGCGAGAGACATTATTATTACTTGTTCTCTGTACCGTCCTATATTAGCAAAGAGTGTGCCCATATACCAGGCTTGATGCCTTTGTCCATCATAATTACAAGAGAGTGTCCGTCGATATCCCAAGGTCGCGTTCATGATTCGTCCATCATCCATCATTCATTACGTTTAAGAACTCTTCCAGTCATGAACATTATCATAAATCCAAGCACTTGCTGTTCTAGCAGACGGTAGTAGTGCCGGCGGTGATGCCCCAGCAGCTGCAGGCGCTCGAGTAGGCGGCCGTCGGGTTGGGGTTGTCGCAGGCGGTGGCATAGGCGGGCACCTCGCAGTTGGTGATGGTGGCGATCGGGTGGCCCCAGTCGTCGATGGTGACGGTGGTGGTCATGAAGGTGGAGCAGTCCGACTGGCGGCTGGTGACGTCTGGCTTCTTGCCGGCGCGCGTACCCGTCACGGCGCGGGCACAGTTGTTGGAGTTGCAGCCGTTACTACCGTCGGTGCGCTCGTTCAGACCGGCGACGGGCACCTCGCCGTTGGGAAGGGCCAGCACGGTGGCGGCGACGAAAGCAATGATGGTAAAGGCCTTCATGGTGAATTGATGTTTGTTTGAAGCCTTTGTTGCTTTATCTCTTGTTGGGTGAGTGAGTGACTATTCAAGACCGCTTGCTGCTGCCGGACAAGCACACGTCAATGAACTGGGGAAAGATCAGAGTATTATATATCCCGGTCGGAAACTCATCGAGACAGACAGCCTTGCCTCACTCACAAAGTGAACCGCATCCCATGCAAACCCTTGGGATGGCACCTTCTGTGACATCGGCCAGCTGAACCGGACATGCCTGCGCCAAGCATTCAATTCTCGGTATTAGGCGACGCCATCTTGCAAGACCGATTCGTCTGATGTCTACAGCTTTACATAACCCAATAACATGTCAGACGAGTTGACCAGTAGTCGGTGCTGATTTGTGGGCCGAACCGGCCCAAGATCGCGCCCCCTTTCGCCCAAGAATCAGGAAGTTTTATGGAGGTCGCAGCCGGGCTGAAGACACGCGCAACGTGTCTCGGCTGGATGTAGGTGTTGTTGGTTCCTGAACGGCATCGGGGCTGGGGATAGGTAGGCGGCATGCTGCAGGCGCCATTTGTCGGCAATGCCACCACCCCATGCATCACCTCGGGCTTGGCGGCAGTGACAAGTGCCAGCACAATGAATGCCATGACCCCGCAAATGTGCTGTTTATTTCCCGGTTCTCAGAACTTCCGCTGAGAAATGTGCAGAAAAACACTCAGATGACCCCGCAAAATATCTGTCGGATTCCTAACGGTGCAGCACTGCGGCAGGGCTAACACGTGTGGCGTGTGGAGAGAACACTTTATTTGGGTTGGTAGACTGTCCGATGCGTGCGATTCTTACCAAAGTTCCGGCAAGGAACAAGCAACTAAAAGGACGATCCGGAGGGAATGCTTGCAGCCATTATCTTCCAGCGCTGTAGATATAATACTTCGATTACCCGGCAACCTGTATCATGATGGTGGTCGATAGATATAATTAACCTTCTTCCCTAACAAGCACACACCCACTCCTACCCAAAAGCATGGCGTCCATAGCTTCGGGACATGGTGTGGGGAAGACGTTAGCCTGGCATCCCACATGCATACGTATGCACAGCAAATACGATGTTGGGCTGGCGCCCGACAAAGCAGCGTATACCCGACCGGCAACCAATCTTGTCGCGGCTGAACGTCACCCGGAGTTGCGCTGGTAGCTATCCTGAGTAAGACGCCAGGCGGTGTTTTCGGGGCTTATTCATGTGGCTTGATGTTGCTAGGCTTGCGAGAGTTTCTCTAACATGCTAGCTTTCGACCCCTCTCTCCCGAGGTTCTACACCCAACAACATGCTTTTCCAACCGGAATATTCTTCCCGATGTCGATGAGTTTGGAATCATACTAGAATAGAACTTGTGACGTTTCTGCTTCCCGGGTTTTGTTTGGTGGTGGCCGAGAAGGCCGGCGTCTTTGTTCCGGTCGCTTTAATTACTAGCTGCGGATGTTAGGGATCCCCACGGATGATCTGCAGTTCTGCACAATGGACCGGATCAGCGCAAAACACCTTGACGAACAGGCAGATCTATGGCCCTTACAACAGTCACCTGGCATCATTGGCCGAAGAACCTGCTCAGGTACTAAAGATGGGACAAATGAAAGCAGTAATGTTCCTGGGAGTCGACCGCGACACAAAAGTTCCCTGAAGCACACTCACCCGAATAGTTAGACGCTGGATCTTGCCTCCTCTTTTCTCTCTTTCATCTCAGTCACTGCATTTGGCTCGCCTGTTCCCACCGCGCACAGTTCCTCAGACCAATTCCACCAATCATGTCAACATTGTTTACCAACTTCCGTCCTCCGTCCCATTCATGTTCCACCGTGGATAGTTCTTTTGTTCCCATGCGATCGTTCCCCATATGTGATACTATTTCCAACTCTTCATCCGTCCAAGGCAAGATGGCCGAGCGGTCTAAGGCGCCACGTTAAGGTTAACCCTTAATCCCAATCTCCGTGGTCCGAAAGGGCGTGGGTTCGAATCCCACTCTTGTCAATACTGCCATGCAGGCCCAGACGTATACTGGAACTTTTTGTTTTGCTTGGTACTTGTCCTCCTCCGTAAGAGATCAAGATGGTGTATAGATGCGGAGACACATTAGGTTGCTAATGCTCTTATTAGAATAAGCACCCCACCTAAAGGTAACGGGCAGCGCCTTCTGAGTCAGTCAAGACTAAGCTTCAGCTAGTCGTTGCTAGGAGCATGCAACCTGTTTCTATGATGACAAGTATTCTATTGAAGGCGAACAAGACAGCTTGACATTTTCCTTTACCTTGCGTTACGCATTTTAGTGACAGCGCCGTCATTCGCTAACACCATGACTTAGCAGAGCCGAACTTGCTCTCAGGGACCGTGACCTAACGTAACCTAACTCGAACCGCTGCAAGATCGCGTGCGTGTATGACGCATTTTCAAGCATGTTCAAAAACCGTCAAGTTTGGTGATACGTGTCGTGGCAAACTTAAAAATTCGTTGGGCAGCCTTGTGTAAGACGTGGCTAGGGGGAACAAGTGGTGCCAGTGCTACGACGGTTGTGGAACATTTGGCTCCAAACAACGTCATGACGGCTTTCGCAAAGTGTGTGTGTTTAAACAGCATATATAGGCAAAGACTGTTCTTCTGTTTTCATGGGCCACCTTCGTGTTTGACTGAAGTTTGCGAAAATCAAGTCCTTGGCTGCCTCCCAGACACACGTAATTCAAGACACCTGTTTAAGTTCTGTTCAAAAATTTTCATCCTTCATCCCGCAACTTGAACGCGTCGGATATTTCCATATCCAAAATTACGATGAGACCACCGTGCCGCCGCCGAAGGTCCCAAAGCCCCTGCGAGCGCTATGTCGAAACTCGCGAGCGACGCAGACGCGAGCGAGCGCAACTACCCGACGAAATACCACCGGCATTCCAAACACAGTCATCCCTCAAGGTCGCATCGCTCTATTCCCGCGCGCCAGCAGCACCCGAATCTGGCTCCTCTAACTGGGAAGCATACCTGAAGTCATGCTCTCAGTCTCCTGATGCGCCGGCCGCGTCAACACCAGCTTCGCAAAGCAGCGATGGGAGTGACAGTTCCCCTGACTCTGAATGCGAGACCGATAGAAAACCCAGACGGAATGCTCTTTGGCGGCCGAACTTTGTGTCGTTTTCTTCCTTCGCACCAAAAACGGACATATTCTCGTCCACGCACCCAAACGATCCACGGCCTATCCCGGGAATGCGAGGATTTGCTCCATGTCTTCTGACTACCCAGCCTGATCCTGGTAGTTGGCAGTCGCTCAATCGATTATACCAACCCATGGTCCCCGGAGACGTACCAGAGCTCGGGGGGAGACCGGACAGATACGATCGTTACGCCTGGCAAAGATGCTATCGATCGAAGGAGATTGAACGAGGAGCCGCCCCTGCTCCGACTGAAATTACGACGAGCAAGACCACGAACAAGACCACGAGCCAGAAACCGACGGGCCAGGCGCCGATTCGGACCACGACAAGTAAGGCAGCCAGCCAGAACTTGAAACCGACAAGCCAGGCGCCAATTTGGGCCATGAACCAGGCTCAAACTGCGTCCCAAAACTGCGTCCGAGAAAACTATCAACCGCCAGTGAAGACGAAAAGCAGACCTCGCCCGGTCATTGCGACAAAGAATCGGTTCTCGGCCTTGAGTTTTGAGTGATCATGTTCATCCCAACTCCGTCAAGCTTCAGTCAGTTGGGTTGCAATTCAGTTACATCGAGTTAAAGACCAGTAAGCAGCCCAAAGTTTCAGTAGCGATACCCTGGATAGATCTGACTGACCTTTTTTTCAGTGCCTCATCATAAACACCAAACTTAGCTTGCTACCAGAAGGCCGCGATTGTATCTACGATCTGCATGCAATGATTATATGTGGTCGATTGGCATTATGGTTGAACAGAACTTGTGTGTACGAGTCTGATTTCGAAACCTCTGCCCGAGTGCCAATGACTAATAATATTGGATGGAAAGAATCCGGCTCACGGCATAGCGAATTCATATTAGTTGGCGTGGGGGATAGTACGGGCTGCTATGCATGTGTTCGGTCAGCCTCAGTCCGAAGAAAAGAACGCACTGTGCGGGGTCGAACACTATCAACCCATCCCTCCCGGGTCTCGACAACGCATCGTTACACCTTCAATCCATACTCTCCGGACTTTGTGCCCAGACTTTGGTGCATCTACAGTTCTTGGCAAACATCATGGCGACTGAGGTTTTGACTCCGCAAGCCCACGTATTCGTCGAACCTCACGATGTCGCCGATACGGACAACGCTCCCAAGCGCCCCCACAATGTCGCGACGTCGCTGAACTACTGGAAGGACCCCGGGGATGGGTCACCGCCGACTCCCATCATCGTTGGCAGGTGAGCTACCTATCTTTGTTATCCAACCGCTGCCGAGCAAGTTGGTTTTGCTAACATGATGAGAAGGGGAACAATCTCCAACAGGCGCCCCACCATCGCCCAACCCGTCGTCGTGACGGACGTCACCGGCGAGGAGGACAAGTACACCCTCGACAGCCACGGCTTCCAGTACCTCCGGTCTACAAGCAACGAAAAAGACTTCACCGACGAATCCAAGATCTTGGCAGAGTACTACCCCGAATGCGAGCAGCTGCTCAAGGATGTGTAAGCCCCCCCCCCCCCCACCTCCCTTCTTTCCCAGTCCACAGTCGCCCCTCCCCCTCCCCTTCCACTAATGTGTTGGTGTTTTTATCAGGACTGGAGCAAGCAGGGTAAAGATATTCGACCACAAGGTCCGCAGGGGGCCGACGCAGTGGCATGGGTTAGGGGCGAACAATCTCGCCAACCGGGGGCCCGTTACCCGGGTGCACGTGGACCAGTCTTATGACGGCGCCGAGATGGTCCTCCGACGGCGCCTCCCTGACGAAGCTGACGACTTGGTGACAAAGCGATATCAGATCATCAATGTCTGGCGACCCATCAAGACCATCCTCAAGGATCCCATCGCCGTGGCTGATGCAACGTCGATTCCGGACGAGGACTTGGTCGCGGCTAGGTCCATGTACGACAGCCATCAAGGGGAGACATGGACGCTGCGCCCCAACGCTGCGCACAGGTTCTACTTCAAATACAGGCTTACGCCGGAGGAGGTGCTGTTTATCAAGTGCTTCGATTCAGACATACAGGCAAAAGCGAGAAGAGTGCCGCATTCTGCGTTCGAGGATCCAGAGCATAAAGATCAGGAGTACCGGCAGAGCGTTGAGGTACGGTGTTTGGTGTTTTATGATCACTGAGTTCCCTCCCCTCTGTATGTAGGATGGGTACATGTAGATATGGTTTTGGCTAGTCGTTGCGTGGAGACTTTAATTGAATGAGCACATAAGCTACATACATAACAAGCAGGTGCACGCAAAAAAAAAAAAAAAAATTTGTTTCCATCACATCGTCACAAAAGAGACGAACTACGAAGTAGGCTGTGTAGTGATAGAAAGGGTTGAAAGAGTGCAAAAAAAATCTGGAAACTCACAAACCGCATGTAACGATCCACCCAGGGGTCGAACCTGGAACCTCCTGATTCGTAGTCAGACGCTCTGCCATTGAGCCAGCGGACCTGGGTGGAAAACACTCACTTTTAGAGCTTCTTATTGACGAGCTAGCTATTGCGTCCGATGGAAACTTGCAGTTTCATAATGCGCGACTCTGTTCGTTGCATAAAACACGCAGCTTTTTTCCGGTCTGTTCTTCAACGACAAGTACCTAGGGACTGGGACCGCTGTTGAGTTCTACCGTGTCCGTCGGTAAGAGGGGGGGAAGGCGGCGAAAAAGTGAGAGGCACCGCCATGCACATATTCGTGTTCCTTCCTTCCATGTCTACAAAAGGCAAAAAAAGAAGGATCAGCTCGGTCAGGGCTTTTGGCAGGTCAATCAATCAATCAATCCCCCGCGTGCCCTACGAACGTTGCACAGCCTTGTAATAAGATCGACCGAAAGGCCCGCATTTGGAAAGGCGTTGTTGAGTAAGACACAGTTTACGGATACCGCGAACCCCCGAATGCGAATCCTACGACGTCACAGCTGTCGCAATGTTTCGTGGCTGAGTTTTTTTCCGTGATGCTCGCAGCAGGTTGGGTTATTAGATAAAAATCATAAATATCATGACCCCCCTCCCGCTGCTATCAATTTTTTTTTTATATGTTGTGCTCCGTCGAAGCAGAAAACGAATTCATCACAACATAAAATTACCTGACAACTAACTACCTGACCTGTAATACCAACATTCTAATACCAGTTTGCATCGAAGCAAAGCAAAAAAAAAAAAAAAAGGGACGAAAAGAAGAAAAAGAAAGTCCAATAATTATGTGCTGTCGTGTAAGGCCCCTCCCTTCCCATCCCCGGCATTCAGTTCAACAGTTGCTAACGAGAGGCGATGCAGTCAGATAACAACTATCAACGCCCCGCGCCCGATATATTACCAAGACGAAAAGGCGGCCAAGAAAGCAGCTAGACGACGGAGGGGGCGCCGGAATGCAGCTACCGCGAGTGCAGGCGCCCTTGCTGCCATGTCTGCTGCTAGTGCAGGCGGAGGCGGAGGCGGAGGCGGTGGTGGCGGGTGCTGAGGAGATATTTTTTATGCATAGCTGGCATGAAGTAAAAGTGTATTATTGAATTACCTTGAGATGGAACGGACTCAAACTTTTAGGATTTAGGATGCATGATTGTGATGATAACCGACAATAGATGCACATTTACTCGTAAATACCCTTGTGCGTCTATGTGCTAGGAAGATGGACAGAACCAAAAATAGAGAGAAGACCAACCCTACAAACCTGCTTATCCAAAAACACCCAGCTAGCTGTATCCCGGGCCCATACACCAAAAGAGAAAACAAAGTGCCCTCGAAAACCCTTGCCGAACCTCTTTGCAGAACACCTGTAGACCCACCAAGACGCCGCACTGATAAACACGCTTGAAGCCAATTATTTAGAGGGATGTCCGGGGTGTAGGTTGTTGCTGCTTTCGA